CAGGTCTTTTGTGTTCATAACTTCGCTTTAGGGCGGCATGGTGGCTCAGTGGTTAGCACTACTGCCTCACAGCGCCACAGACCCAGGTTTGATTCCACCCTTGGGCGACTGTGTGCATGGAGTTTGTACATTCTCCCCGTGTCTGTGTGGGTTTCCTCCTGGTGCTCCGGTTTCCTCCCATGGTCCAAAGATCTGCAGGTTAGGTGGATTGGCCATGCTAAATTACCACATAGTATGTTCAGGGATGTGTGGGTTATAGGGGGATGGGTCTGGGTGGGATGCTCCAAGGGTTGGTGTGGGCCTGTTGGGCCGAAGGGCATGTTTCCACACTGTAGGGATTCTATGATTCTTCCTCTAGATGCTTTTTATTGATTGCTGACCAATGGGCCCATACTCGGATCTAACGGTGATCCACACATACACTCAGCTAATCTGTCCCTGTCATGTTATGTCTGCTGCATTTATTTATTCACTTTTCAATTACCTTCCCTCTCAATGTTTAAGAGAACCTCCTTACCCCAGAGAATGAAACAAGCTTTCCTCACATTTAGTTTCATCATTTGTCTGCTACTGGATCAATGTAATTATTCCTCACTTACACCAATCATGTGGTCTGTTAGTAGCTTTTGAAGTATGAAAGGAACTTGACGATAGGGTCTCCAGGATGCCAGTTTTCTTTCATAGCTGATTTTTTTTCAGCTGGTACTTAAAGTGCATCTTGGCTTTCATGATGTTAGGATCTACAAAAAAAAATGTGACATTTCATTCAATTTAAAGGACACTATGTCTCTAACTTATACTGTCATCTCATTTTCATGGTCAATCTCTATTTTAAACTGAGGGTTAGTAAGTAGCAAAAGCAGTAATGGATTATTAGTTCAAAACCAAAGGAAAACTAATCATTTTTGTAGTGATTGGAACAAGGTCAGCCAGGTAGATCCATTGAGTATGAGTTCCCTGATTGGGGCTGTTAACCTGGTCCAATCAGGAAGCCCTGGCTGACAGATATAAACAGGAGTATCAGGGGTTCTATTCACTCTAGAAACCAGCTCTGCTCTTGCTGGGTCGGTGTCATGTACCAGGCACGTGTAAATAAGAGGTGGCTGGGTGACAGGATACTAGCCTTCATGGAGTTATTTCAATTTTGTTGCCCTCCATGGGGATTTTGGCCAAAGGATGGAAACAAATGCTACATAACTCTGACTCGCATTAAGGCATTTTATCGTTTTCCTGTCAAGAGGAGTCAATGGCCTAATGGTATTATTGTTAATTAATTAATTTGCAGACCCAGGTAATGTTCTGGGGGCCATGGTAGATGGTGGAATTTGAAATCAATAGAAATCTGGAAATAAAAGTCTAACGATGACCAAGGAACTGTTGCTAATTGTAAGGAAAACACATCTGGTTCACTAATATCCTTTAGGGAAGGAAACTGCCATCCTTACCTGGTCTGGCCTACATGTGACTCCAGACCCATTTCAGTGCAGGTGACTCTCAACTGCCCTCTGGATGGGCAGTGAATGCCAACCTAGCCAGTGACACCTACATTCTGTAAATGAATTTTAAAAAAACGACAGAACATTATAAAGAAGACCAGCCTATGTAACAATTTAGTGAACAATTTTGACCTGTTCACAATGTTAGTGCCATGTTTGTCTCTGCTTTTGACCATAAACCTACACAATCATGAACAACAACCATTTCCAGTTTTGTGACTTTGTCTGACTCTACCCAGGTCTTAGTTCATCTGTAGTTGAAGCCCTCAGCCATGATACGATCTAGCTAGGAGATGGATAACTGCTTTCTTTCCTTCTCCCACTTCTCTGCCAGTCACAACAACTTTTCAATTTTAAATGGAGAGCTGATATGACCAATCACTTATTGGGCAGTCTATAGCTCAGTATCATAAGCAAGTCAGCCATGTCCCTTAAGTAACGCTGAAGAGCTAGTTTACGCAAACAAGCCTCTTTCCCTGACTTAGCTTTCTCTCTCAATATTTACTTCTGTAAGTCAGTGTCGACTTTTACAAAATGCATGAAGACATAAAAGTGTAAGAAATAGGAGCAGGAGTAGGCCATTTTGCCCCTCAAGCGGACTCCACCAGTCAATGAGGTCAGGCTGATCTGATGTGGTCTTAGCTCCCTCTTCCTGTCTGCTTCTCCTGTCAAAGAGAAGTATGTTTAACTCAGCCCTGAATATGTCCGATGACCCAGCTATTACTGCTGTCTGGGGAAGAGAATTCCAACCACTAGCAGTACCAGAGAAAATTCCTCCAAATCTCCAACTTAAACAGTTTTCAGAATACTAATCTATTCCAAATGATTGATGGGCAAATATTCTCACACAAATCTATCCTGATGTAAATTCTTCTTCCTCCTTGCTTGCTATCTTAATAAGTACTTTGGCAAGTAACTGACTTCAGTCTAGACGATGACCATTAGTTATGACAGTTCATTGATTCCACTGCTAGAACCGTGTCTATACCAACATTGAACAAACCGTAGTCATTTTGTCCCCTCAAACACAAGATAAAACAAAATATTTACCTGTCAGCAGAGTATCGAAAAGCTTAGTTATTAGATGTGGTTGAACTAGTGGACACCAATTCAAGCTCAGTGATCCAGCTGGGAATTTGTAGCTCCAACCAGTGATTGTGTAGGATTCTCCAATTGCATTGTTGGGTGATGGACTAAGATGTTTGTTACTCATGCTTTCATACAGCAGGATGAAATAGCATGTAAGGAACATAAATCCTTGCCTTGGAAGAATTAAAAGGGATAGGTAGGCACTTAGAGTTCTGGCAAAAGCCAGAGAAGCAGAAATTGCAAACTAAGTGATGAAATAACTAGGGAGAGAAGCAGATGTGAAACAGGTGAACCACTAAGTTTATAACTGGAATTCCAGAAAATGGAAAAAAAAAGAGGAGGCGGGAAAGGGAAGAGAGAGAGAGAGAGAAAGGAAGGAGAGAGGAGATTCCAAGAGAGGGATTTCCATTTGAGATAACCCAATTTGCTTGAGGTGCTTTCAATTAATACAGATCTCGTGAGGGAATAGCATGTAACTCAAGTTTACAGGCCAGGTGTTTGTGTTTGCCCAGTTAATGCCTAAGTTTAATAAAGAAGAGGTGGACACCTGCTTTACCTCTTTTGAAAGGTTAGCACAGCACCCAAAGTGACCAATTGAACAACTCTCAACCCTGTAACAGAGCAGGTTTTTAAAATATCCATTCATAAAGACATAAGAACTTGAAGCAGGAGTAAGCAATTCAGCCCCTCAAGCTTGCTCCACAGTTAAATACAATCATGGCTGATCTCATCTTAGCTTCAAATCCACTTTCCTGCCCGCTCCCCATGACCCTTTAACCTGTTACTAATTAAAAGCCGATCTATCTCCTCACTTATCCCACAATATCCGAGCACCCATTGTACTCTGTGGTTAGTGAATTCCACAGATTCATGATTCTATGAGAGAAGTAATTTCTCTTCTTCTCTGTTCTAAATCTGCTATCCTTTACCCCAAAACTAGGACCTATCATTCTAGAGATAGTAGGAACTGCAGATGCTGGAGAATCTGAGATAACAAGGTGTAGAGCTGGATGAACACAGCAGGCCAAGCAGCATCAGAGGAGCAGGAAGGCTGACGTTTCAGGCCTAGACCCTTCATCAGAAATGGGGGAGGGGAAGGGGGTTCTGAAATAAATAGGGAGAGAGGGGGAGGCAGATAGAAGATGGATAGAGGAGAAGATAGGTGGAGAGGAGACAGTCAGGTCAAAGAGGCGGGGATGGAGCCAGTAAAGGTGAGTGTAGGTGAGGAGGTAGGGAGGAGATAGGTCAGTTCAGGGAGGATGGACAGGTCAAGGGGGCAGGATGAGG